ACCTCTTCTCCGCCAGTATTTTGTCGGTTATCGGCGTCAAGAACTCGTCGCTCCAGCAGGTGACGACCATGAACGCGTTCGTGGCGCTTTTGGCTTTGCCTGGTTACTACGTGGCCATCTACTTCATCAACAGTCTGGGCCGCAAGAAGATGGCGCTGCAGGGTTTCTTCTTCATGGGCGTCCTCTGTTTGATCCTGGCCATCTTCTGGGACGACCTGCAGGACCAGACTGTGCTCTTCATCGTGCTGTACGGCCTGACGCTATTCTTCGCCAACTTCGGCCCCAACACGGCGACGTTCGTGCTGCCGACGGAGATGTACCCGACTCCGATCCGTTCGACGTGCCACGGCATCTCGGCCGCTTGTGGCAAGGCTGGTGCGGCCATCGGTTCGTTCGGCTTCTCCATCTGGGTGTCGAACGAGAGCTTCGGGTATGATGGTGCCTTCTACACGTTCTGCGCCATCGCCTTCGTGTCGATCCCGTTGACGTGGTTCTGCGTGTTCGACAACGATGTGCCGATCGAGGAGATGGACGCCGAGTTCTACCGCAAGCTGCACGGCGAGGACGTGTTCACGCGCGATTTCTTTGCCGTGATGGGCGCTGATTCGGAGAAGGGGGTGAGCTACAAGGTCAACTGGACGCCGAATGCTTAAGCGTACATGTAGAGATCCGTAAAGTTGCTATCAATTCCATTCTGAGCTTAGAGGTGAATGGCAAAACCTAATTCATCGCGCTCTTACTGCAATTTTGACCTGTACAGTCTGTACAAGTACTGTAGGTAAAGTCTGAGTGCAGCACCCGACGAAGCCAAGAATCAGCGAGCGGATCCGTATGAGGACAACTTTGGCTGCCCAACGTGACTCCGGCGAGTGACGGCCGAGATACCGAGTGCCCGAGTTGCCTTGACTATCGCTGCCGGCGGTGTCAAGTGAATCTAAGATTCATTTGGAGATGCGCCGCTCTGTCATAGAACGGGCGGATGTTAGATTGGGTGTGCGTGCACGGCGTATTTTGGGCTGGTCTCAGCTGAGGCAGGCGACAGTGCTCGCACCTTAATAAGGCGGGCGGGGCTGCGCGTTAATCGCTTATCGTATGGTGTTGCAGTTGCATGAGCACGCTTCCCTGCTGAGGAGGCATTGTTCCAGCTTACAGCCCAGCGGCACGCGTGACGATGTCCATGCGAATAATGTAGCGCCATAGAGCACTGGTCTCCGAGCGGCCAGCACCTGAGACGAGCGCATTTGCGCAAGATTCAAACCACAGACAATTCGTATCTACCGCGATCAGCGTGATAACTGTATCTCAGACGGCCGCAAAGGCGGCAAAGAGCGTGTAGCCGCCCGCCGAAACTTGCTACACTTGCTGCCAAACGCTTTCCGAAAGCGCTCGTACAGTAGCTACACTACGCAGCGCCTCGGACCCAATACTGTAAGGCGCTAATGCACGAATAAAGAACCCACCTCATCCTCTAGTCGCGAGTTCAGACTTAAGAAAACTTGACTGGTGCAGCCATTTCCAGGTGTACGCACGCGTACCGCCAGTTTTTTGAAACTGGCATTAAAATGCGCTGAAGCGAGAGACCACCAGTCGAATCGCTGCTGCATGACGCACATCGGATCCCGTTTGCAGCCGCACTGTCACGTTCGGTTCGCTCCAAAGTGGACAGGGTTGGTCTCCGCTGTCAGATCATCCCGGTCAGCTTATTTCGGGTCCCGACCCAAAATAAAAAGTGCACCTCGTTTGTGAGCAGGGCCAGTCAAGGCGCGACTGACAAGTTGCTGGAAGCTCGACCCTACGGTACCCGCAGTACCTGCACCTCGGATCCGAGTCGCAACGCTCACTTCATTCTGCATTTCGCCGGCTCCAGCCCAACCGACCACTTCAACTCCAGTCACCTCAAACCAAGCAAGACCCCAGTCATGAACAAGTACCTGGTGCGAGGCCTCGGCTTCTTCAACGATGCCTACGACCTCTTCGTCATGAACATCATCAACGTCGTGCTCACCGAGCAGTACGGCAAGCACGTGTACACGTCGTACGTCAAGTCGTGGGTGTCCGCCGCTGCTATCATCGGCGCTGTCATCGGCCAGCTGCTGTTCGGCTTTTTGGGCGACGTCTTCGGTCGCAAGGTCAACATGATCGCTACGTGTGTGCTGCTGATCGTCGGCAGCATTCTGTGTACCGTTGCGTACGGAGGTGATGGCAGTGCGACGCTGTGGTTCCTGGTGGTGGCGCGTGTCATCTTGGGCATTGGTATCGGCGGTGAATACCCGCTGGCCGCTTCGTCGTCTGCTGAAGACTCGACGTCGAGTGCAGAGCGCAACACTCGGGTTGCCACTACGTTCTCGCTGCAGGGAGTGGGTCAGGTGGTGGCTGCTTTGCTCGGTAACCTGCTTGTGGAGGCGCTTGCTGATGGAAAGTCGGG